TTTCACAGAGATGTCATTTCTCGAGGCGCTCAAAGGTTACACAGCAAACAACCTTCTCACGGTGCCTATGTAGCAAGGGCATCGCTACTAGGAACAAAGGGCATCGCTACTAACGCTACTAGGAGCAAGGATGCTACCCTAGTAGCGTCCTTGCTCCTCGTAGCGATGCCCTTGCTACTACCTTCTCACGGTGCCTATGCCGTAAGTTGCCGGGCTGGTATCTGTACAAAGAAAGGAGAGTGTCCAGCATCTTGATATCTTAGATTGTCTTAGGCTCTTTTGCGGATCAACTGGGACTCTTTTGCGGATCAACTGGGACAAACACAACAACACCATTTATTAATTTATACAATATATATATATGTATACTACCAGTTCATTTACTTGACCGCTATTCTTCTGAAACCCTCAACTTCCCTCAAAACAAATCATGGATTCTGATGATTTCTTGTGACTTGACTACCCGCTACAGTACCCGCCCACGGCAACGCTTTAACCCGAGCTGGAAATAATCATGCTGACAAGGCACGAACATGGTCAAAAGGCTATTGCGGCACGGGTGGCCGTTGGTCACGAATAGCAAGGTCACTCTCAAAAACTGGGGCTGATGAGTGCTTACCAACAAAATGTCAACATGTTGAAGCAAGTATGCCTTTATGTTGCAAGCTGCAACGGTGCCATCGAGCTCTTTTTGTGCATGACCCGTGACATTTTGCACGTCCCACTGTCATCAATTGTGTGTCTGCCAAATTGATCGCTTGATCTTTAATTTTGACAGTACTAGTGCTTGCAATCATCTCTGGAGATGAGACAACACTGCTGCAATAATCGCGGCCACTCTATAGTGTAAGCGCCGCACCTGTAAGAAAAACGCATGGAACAACATCTACAGCTTCGCTCCATTGATTGAAGTACCAAGCCCCAAATGGAACTCTCAACTTGCCCCCCCCTGGTGCTTCCGCTGCCAAAGCATGTATATGACCACAAGTGGACCTCTTTCCGCCGTGGCTCCCTAGCACGAATAAACAAGTGGACAACCAAATGCAACATTGTTGTCCTTCTGAATAGGTTGTTGCAATGAGGTGTGCTTTTACATCAAGCCACCAGCAGGATGGTTTAGCAGGGTGTTTTAGATCATCAACATTAGCATAACATGCATTAGGAGCAAGGGCATCGCTACTAGTAACAAAGGGCATTACTACTAGTCGCAAGGACGCTACTAGTAGCTCCTGGCCTTACTACTAGGAACAAGAACGTTACTAGTAACAAGTGCATCGCTTCTAGTAACAAGTGCCTTACTAGTAGTAACAAGAAGCTATTAGAAACAAGTGCCTTACTACTAGGAACAAGAACGGGAGCAAGGACTCAAATCGCAACTCGGAGAACCCGTGGTCAAGCCTGGGAGGTGCACCCCGGCGAACTGGCAAAGGTGCTGGCACCGTGGTGCGACTGGAAATACCTGGGCAAACAGATGCAAACAAATGCAAACATGTACAGTAGTAAGTCTTCGCGCAAATGTATGTTTTGTCCATTAGCAAATGTGTTCACAGATTGAGCTACGACGCTTCTACTCTCTCTCTCTCTCTCTTTCTCTCTCTCTGGCGAAAGGCGAAAGTGCCACTTTGAAGATCTGTGAAGCAACTGCTCCGCTCATTTTGTTCTTGGGGTACTCGGTGTAACTAGAACTAGAACAAAAATGGTTCTAAATCACTGCAAAGTTATTCGACCAGTGAACATGCTGATAACAATAGTACGCCGAGCATTTTCAACATCCCAGCTTAGACCATTGCACTTTGGGACTGTACACACTGAGCCAACCACCACTGGGAGCGCGGGAGGCTTCGCTAATCATGGCAGCCTGAGGAGAACGGTGCTCTACTCATCTGAAACCAAAAGAAAGTTGCAACAAATTGAACAACAGTGTACAGACTGAACACTCAAACTGCTGGCGTCAAACTTTCAATCAGTCTTTCAGGTAAAACTATCAACTATATCCGAAATCCAGTCTGAACAGGGAGGCGGCCTATCAAAGGCCGTAGTCAAGTTCCAACGCAGTGTAAGCAAAAGGAAATGCGAAATCTTGCAACTATGCAAGTACCTTTCAAGTCTCCAAGTAGCGAGACCTTCTCACCTATGTTGGCATTTTGCGTGCGTTTTGCATCGTTCTCAACGCCTCAATTGCTTTGATCTCCTCCTGAAGGTCTTCGGCCACATAGACCTCGCATGGCTTGACGTAACGGGTAGTTGCCGGGTAGCTGACAAAGTTGTCTTCACTGGCTATAATTCCTGCACTTTCCAGGTGGTGACTACCGACAGTTGCACCACCTATGTCTTAGTGAACCTGGTTAACATTATGCCCCTGTCTCGAGTATCCTTCTTGTTACTACGTACCTGTAACATTACACAAAGCGTACGAGAGGCCTCTTCTTTAGCTTAGGACCACAACCTACGACAACCAGAAACTGTATCTAGGAGGACCTTATGTGCGCAATTTCAGTTGACTTTAGTAGTGCCAATTTAAAAGTAGCAGGTGGATTCAACAACCCAGCCCGAAAGCTTTGTGAGTTCCATGAAACCATTGAACATTGTATCAGTTCAAGATTCGATTTTGGAAACCGAGCTGCGACAGGGAAAAACGGTTCCAGCTGATCAGGTCCAGAATCCCTTGCTAGTCATGGGTGGATGACAAATGCTTTCGGCAAATCAGGAACGCAAGCAGCAGGACGTTGCCCCGCATAGACCCCATTGATCGCAAGTTGACCGCTCAAACAAAACTGTCATGTTTGTGCAGCAAAGCACAAACAAAATAACGTCCATGGACCCCATGGACATGACGTGACATGACCAACACATGCAAACTTCAAAACTAAACCCAAAACCAAACCACAAGGCCGCCCATCGAAGTGCCTGTGGGACCACTATGGACGAGCAAATCGACTCCCGTGAGAGACCTCTCGTCGCGGCGGTCTTGGCAGAGTTGAAGGTGGCTGCTTCATTACTGATGCCAAAATTGAAAAAGCGATATGAACACCGAACACCCAACAAAGTTATTTCGGAGGTTGGCTTTCAACAGGACCTCAAACAAAAGGCCCTTCTTGGAGCCCCATATACCCACGTGCCGGAATGCTTCCCAACCTCTTCCTTGGTGGCATTGCTCATCTCCCTTCTTTCACTCTACTGGTCTTGCTTCCAGCAGTTTGTGATCATGCTCCGCTCGCCATGCAACGGCGCCTTCTTCCCGTCTTGCCACAGGAGCCTGACATCTGAGATAGCTCTGTGTTTATTCCGTGAAACGCGTCACTTGAGCTTCGGTCCGTGAGGAAATTCAATTATTTATTGTGGGTGAAGGAGCATCCCTTGCTTCGATGCTTGGGAGACTACACCTCGAGAGAGTTGTTTGCTTCGTGATGCTTCGAGTCTAAACAGTGCGTCTATAGCCTCGTCTATAGGGTTCTTGAAAGGCAAACACTTATGTGATTGACTGTGAGCATCAAAAGCCGCAACATGGGCCCACACATAACTTAGATACAAGGATTTCATTGCTGAGCTCCCAGACCTTCATCATGAGCAAATCCTGTGAGGTCCAAGCCTCAAAGCTGATTGCAACTGTGATTTATCGGAGTACCCACCAGAGAGGTTTTTGAGTAAGCATGCAACTGAACGCTGTGAGGTTGGAGGCCATCGCTCTTAGGTTGGATGCAACTGAACACCACCAAGCATGTTCCCCCCAGGTCCTGAGAGGAAATTTGCAATGACATCTCAGAGTCTCAAGGTGAGTTCTCTCCGAGGGCGACCAAGTAAAATACACTGGAAGCAGCAGCCCTAAAAATGAAAATAAATCCAAACAAAAGAATAATAGCTGGGAGGAAAACAATGGCATCTTTGTGATGGATGGTGATGAAACCCAGATCCATTCCCTCCCTGCTCTGAGCGCTGACCATGTCGAATAAAGGGCTTGACCTGCCCAGTGGCGACACCGGCTGGAAGAAATATCTCCATGAAAGCGTTAGGTTTTCCTAAAAATCTAGGAACAAGGCGGCGGGGCGGGGCAGGGAGCTTCCTTGAAGAAGCGTGATCTATTCTGCGTCCAGATAGTAGAAGCTAACTAGTAGCTACAGTAGTAGCTTACTCCGGGAGGGAGGGAGTTCGGCAAAAAAAGGAACCATCGGCAGCTCCAAGGTTCGCACATCTTGTCGCCTGGTTCGACATACATCTCCAGTCTTTGTTTCATCGAACCGTCCCTACCCTCTGACAAAGGCCTTCCATCCATCCATAAGGCTCCACGTTGTAACTGGCCAAACGGGGCAACTGAGTGGCTTGGCAAACCCTATCTTATACCATATTATCAATAGCCCCTAGTAGCATTCTTGTTCCTAGTAGCGATGCCCTTTGCTCCTAGTAGCGTCCTTGCTCCTAGTAGTAAGGCCAGGAGCCCCTAGTAGCGTCTCTTGCTATGCTCTGAAGACCAAGGTCAGGCTTCGCAGGCGACTGTAAGGGCAGGACCCGACGCAGTCTCACGGATAGCACCATCTTCCACATGAGGTCTACAGTGGTAATTTGGATACTGACTTATAAGTCATAAATCGTATAAATATATACTTTACCTATTTGCAAGGGTGTTCAATGCTTCTTCTCGGCCTCGCCCTGCCCTCCAACCCAGAAACTTCTCCTCAGCCGGTCCATGTCCACACCTTTGTGGGGCACACGCTGTACCTGCATCGCGCTGAGCCCCAAAAAGCCAATCAGCAGCTCTTCACCAAAGACATCAAGCTCTCTCTTGCAGTAGTAGTAACAAGAAGCTACTAGTAGCAAAGGGCATTTCTACTAGGAGCAAGGATGCTACTACGGTTACTGTAATCGTAGCTCCTGGCCTACTACTAGAAAGTAACGTCCTCGCAGCACTTGATGACGCATGGCACTTTTGGGCCCAGAATCATGGCATCGTGTTTTGTGAAAGCATGTTTGCGACAACGGAATGCGCCCCCGGATAGCACTTTTTTCAGAACACGAAGAACACTCTAAAGCGTGTGATTGAATAATTGGTTTGTGCCTCTGCACGTTCTGAACCAAATGCTGACTCTACTGCCGAATTTCAAGAAAAGCACCTTCGATGCTTTGCAACAAGAGCCAGTGCAGCACCACAAAGAGCAAGGCTCAGAACCATCAAGCCTGTCCTTTTTGCTTGCTTGGTTCTCCTTTCTTTTTGCAGCACCTTGTCTTTGCTCCATTCATATTCACCGAGTCGTTGTTGAAACATGTTCTCATCAAAGCCCGCGGTCCGCAAAGCACTTACCACTGCGACGTCTCGGATGGAAGGACCAGGGACCTTGGCCCCACTGGTGCAGTTTAGAAATCGCAAATACTCATCCAAAATCAGGTAGGAATCTTTCATTGTCACATTGTTCTCCGCCACAAGGACTTGCTTCACACTGGAACAACGCCTGTGCCGGTCGATGAAGCCTTGGAATGCTTCCGGTGGGATGAGCAGTGGCTCGACGTTGCGCTCCACGTCACCGACATTCTCGCCTTTGATTGGAAGGCATTGAAACACCTTCCACCGGATGGGCTTCAAACGCTCGATGTGAGCAGACATATCCTGACAAGGATTGTAGCATTACCTCTGCCTGCACCCTAAAAGAATCATGATGTACTTCTAACCTCAACATTATTCGTCTTGAGAAGAGTCCTTATTCCCAGTATGATGTGAAGCCCACATTCGGTCCCATTTATGATTATAGTAGAACTTAGCAATCCGAGTGTTGAGTTGGTTTGACCCCTCCCTTGCATCCACCATACGAAAGTCAACACAAGCCCTGACAAGGCCTTGACCGACGCCAAAGACTATACCGCAGTCCTCATTCACATTGTGTTTGGTGATCACGCTGTTGATCTTGAAGAGCACCTCAAAGTCATCGCACCACTGGCGGATGCTCTCCAACTGCTTCACATGCTCACCTCTACCACGGCCAATGAGCACGTTGGTCGCCTCATGGAAGGAGTCACAGGAGATGGCCAAAATGTCGAGAAAGTATCCAAACTCCTCCATCCATTTCGCTGTGATGTGGCTTCCATTTGACACAATGCTCACTGATTCTAGGCGTAACTCTTCCTTGCAAAAGCGCACCAACGTCCCCAAGGCTTTTGCATGAAGGAAGGGTTCCCCACCACTGAAGTTGATCTTTTGCATTCCCGCGTCACGCAGGCGCGCGAGGCATCGCTTAGACTCCTCAAGGCCATCTTTTGTGCTAGGTAAACAAAAGCTGGTCTTTGCGGTGTGAAAGCAGAATTCACAATGGTAGTTGCATTGCCGTGTGAAGTGCCAGTTCACAGATATGGGCACTGACACAGGAGTGAGCTGTCTCCATTGCTCACACTTGGAGATCACAACCTCTTGCACCCGTCTCAGCACTTCTTCCGTGCTGCCGGAGGCATCAATTTCCACCAATCTATCATCTCCAATCTTCAGGACACGATAGATGTCCATCAAGTTGGTAGGAAGCTTTTGGTCCTCCATAAAGAAAGAATAAGAAAGGCATGCAAACGACAGAAAGAACAAAAGAAGGAACAACTAGGAAAAGACTGACAAAGAGAAGGGGAAGTTGACAAGAAGCTACTAGGGGCTCCTGGCCTTACTACTAGGAGCAAGGACGCTACTAGGGGCTCCTGACATCGCTACTAGGAGCAAGAAGCTACTAGTAACAAAGCACTTTTGCGTAACTCCACATTGACTGAACGCTATCAGTCCTCCAACTTCACCTCTTCTGGAGTCATCCCACTGCCATCGGCGGCTCGATGGCGCACGCGTCTGACACGTTGCGCTTCAGGAAGGTGGAGGAGAAGCCAAACCACAGGGCCTGGCATCAAGTCCTGCAAGTCCAAAGGCATTTGCAGTGCCCCTTTCAACTCCTCTGGCATGTCATTTGGCACAACCTGCAGGGAATTGGATTCGAGACTTTGAAAAGGTGTGTACATCATACTCCAACCTACTAGCGATGGCCTCCAACCTACTAGCGATGTGTACATTATGATCTAGACTCTAGACTCAAAGATTTCAACATCATTCAGAACCATGCACGACCCAGCCTGGTGGTCAAGTGCCAATGCATATGCGATAGATGATGGCCAAAAGCGGTCAATCACGACGGGTTTTTCTGAATGCTTCCTGAGACTTAAGGCGCATGCATAGTTTCCAAGCAAATAGAAAGCCCTTCGAATGTGCGACACTTGGCCATCGAAATGTTGCCGGAAGCTGCGCAAACACTCCGGCGGGCTGCTAAGGCAGTTGACATCTCCCAATTCCCTCTGAAGTCCTTCAATGACGGTGGTTTTTCCTGTTCCATCCAATCCCTCCAGTATGATGACGGGGTGAACATTCGTTGTCTCAACACATCTCGGGACTCTCCTGCCTTCCATCATCTCCTGGACAATTGCCACCACCTTCTGTCCCTCACTTCCACCTTTTTGTGACAGCACCTTCATGGCAGCTTCCATGCATGTGTACAGCGCCATGATGAAACGATGAACGGCTTCACGGACCGACGTTCCACAACATGTCCTGCAATGTACGGCAAAGAACATCCGCAAGCGTTCTTTGGTTTGATCAAACAGTACCCTGGAACCCTTTAGACCTTTAGATCATTTTAGATCCATATAAAGCCGTTTTCCAAGGTCTCTTGACACATGCCGATGCTCTCTCAGAATCTCTTGGAGCAATCGCAAATCCAACCAAGCCCGGCTGCGCACTCAGTGACCTTGGCATCAAAGTCCAACTGCGGCACTGGCAACTGGGCAGCTGGTCAAGGCGCCCAGACCAAGTCGGGATGCGTCAACTTTGGCATGGAATTCCCTGAAGCTATTCTCCACTGTCTGAGACTGTTTTCCCGTTTTCCTAAAGCATCCTAAAGCGACATTTGCCACATGGTTTGCTCTGAACATGGTGCATCAAACAACTGGTCGGCATGGTGTAAGTGTGGAATTCCCATATGTTGCAGGTTCTTTGGGAAACACATCCAATCAGGCCACAAGGATAACCTTCAAACATGTCCCAGTCCTACAGGGCCTCTTGAAAATGGGGGTTGCTTATAAACTGTCCTTGAGGTGCGAAGCGCCTCGAAAATCTGACACATCAAACACATGAACTCTGTTTCACAGCAACCAAGGCAACCTCTTGATTGCACGATATTGCATGTAGTATCATGTTATGTATCGTCATGCTCTGCACGTGCACTGGTCGCCTCTGAGGAGGCGTGTGTTACCACCTGACAACGTTCATCGCCTCGGTCGATGGGAGTCTGATCGAGCCCGATGGTCACCGATGGTCTTCCATGGTCGTGTGCCACAAAAATATCTCAACAAAATGTTTCACGATTACAACTCACTCGTAGAAGGTCTTTGCTCCAAGAGAACGCCGTCACCCCCACGTATAGGAAACCTAAGCATCTGTTGGAGAACCGTTGTCTCTGGTTGGAAACCATTTCAAGGAAGTCATCCACCCTCACCAGATCGGGGCCCAAAACCAAGTTCGACTTGCCAAGACACTGCCCAGCTCCTTCTCTGCAACTGCCTCGTGACGCAGCCGGTGAGCCCAGGAAACCTCTGAGCGAAGTCCAACTCAACCGGATGTCCATTGGCATTTTCCCGGCTCTCGATCTGTGGTGTCTTTTTTCATGTGTTTAAGCTCCAAGTTCCAGGTCAAGAGCTTGGATAAAACACCAAGCCGTTTTGATACACGGTCAGACCCAGCAGTGCTTAGCCGCTTAGTAGTTGCCGAGCGTGCCTTGATGTTGACCGTCTTTGGACGTCTGGTCGGCACCTGTGGCTTCGTGATGCTTGTAGTAACAAGTGCATCGCTAGTAGTAACAAGTGCCTTACTAGTAGTAACAAGAAGCTAGTAGAAACAATAAATAGCTACTGCGTCCTTGCTTCGTGCGTCCTTGCTCCACCGAGTAGCGTCCTTGTTCCCGGCGAACAAATGGAAGACAATTCTTGGGTCGTTCCTTGGATGCCTTGCTTCAACAAAAGTGACAATGCCAAGAAGAGGAGAATCATTTGAAATGTTGTGTCTCAAAGAGTTCATGACAGGGAGTTGAACGGCTGGTGGAGCAAACGAGCAAACTGGTTGGTCTTTCGAATTGAAACTTCTTTCAAAGTTATGGAGCCAAGATCTGAGTCAATCATAAACATAGTAATTAGAAACATGACCAGCAACAAAACCTGAAATGATCTCTTTGCATCTGGTGATATTTGCCAATGGAAATTTCATTGCCCACCTTGCCCCCTAGAACCCCCGACGAAGTGACCTCCGGGTATGTCGCTCTGCCCTACTTAAATACGATCTTAATCGCAGGCTCTCCTGGCCAAGCCAAGCCATGCTGGGTCGTGTTTGCCCGCCGTTTCAAAGGCTCCCCACCATGCTCGGACTCCATCCATTGGCAAACTCAAGTAAAGCTGCGAGGAACACAATGCAGGTCCCAGATTGTCCCCCCAGAAGCTTTGACATTCGTGGAATCACAAAACATCACAAGACATAGTACTCCGACCTTTGCCAAAGTATTTGAGGGACCCGGTCGTTGCAGTTGTCTCGGCTGGTCGGGAGTATTTCTGGCCTGATTAGATGGAGCTCTGTTCAATTCGCGGGGAACAAAGTTCGATCAAACTTCAAGTATATACCCCTTCAGTATCCTTCAGTACCTTTCGCATCTGCACTTGGCAAAACACCGTGTCAAACTATCGAACTGGAGCCAAGAAGTGGCGTGGATACGCTTGAACTGTTGGACCGTATCCATTGACGCATTCATGCACATGATGTATATTCAACTGTGTCATCTTTCTACCGACAGCCAAATGTGAGACACATGTCATGCACATGAACTCAGAAGATTCCTTACATCGACCGAGCATTTTTTGCTGCAAGAACGCTCACCGCAGGAGTCGTCAAAATCATCTGTACTGCAGCAGTCATTGAAATCAATCTGTCTATCATGCCTACTTTGGCGTCCTTTCCCCAGTGCCTTTGCTGGGGTACCCGGATCAATTTTTCGCATGAAACCAATGGCTTGGGGCGCCATCACGGCCACGGCGTGCCACGTGCGTGTCACGACTCTACTCGCGGGGCGCCCAGTTGGGAGGTGGCGACCGCGAGCGCGAGGGCAAACGCACCGGCGGCGTGCGGAGCGCTGCGATGCCCACCTGTGGGACGCCGCCTGTACCATGCAAGCGACGCAAGCGACAGGGATTTGTTGAAGCGTTTTTAGGGATGTGAAACACGTGAAACCTATGAAGATTTCTTGAGGTTTACTGTATTTCTCAAGATACCAATTTCACATCTTGTGGCCCAATGAGTATCTTTGGAGATGACACTCAATGCGGTTCGACAAATCTGCTGCTCTGGGACTTGCCTTTGTTTTTCGGCGGCTCTGGCAAGTCGAGATCCTCGTCATTTAGCCTTAACAGGCGGCTCGACAACATAATCCCTGTCCCTCCTCTACAGCCAACCAAACTGGTGTGGTGCATATAGTTCGATTATGTTCGATTATTGTCCTGTGCATCTGTAAAAACACTTCAATATGGATTGTATCTGGCGACCAGAACCTTGACTGCAACAACTAGTGACTAGTGGCTCAAGCTATGATTTGTTGATGAAATTGCCTTAATTAATCTTTCCATGTCATCCCAAAACGCACATCGTTTCCAGCCACAAGTGAAACATGAATTACATTTTAATAAATATATAATGACCAGGTCATGACCTCTTACATGTAGTGGAGTATGGCCTCCAATGGATAGTGGACTCATATCAAAATCGAGCAATTGGGCTAAAGTTAAGTTTCCCAAAACATCTAGGAACCAAATCATTAGTGCGAGCGTGAGCTATCCTGCGTCCAGTGACTAGAAGCTAACTAGTCGCCCTTACTTGATTAAGTAGGCTCCTACTTCACTAGATAAGTCATTAAGTAAGGAGGCAGGGGCACCGGATAAAGATAGGAACTAAAGAACTTTGGCGCCAAGCAGGTGCCACGGCCTTCTTGACAGGTCCAAGTCGCCAAAAGCCACGATACTGAGACCAATTTAACCAAGGTAGCCTCGGAGGACGAGCGCCTGCGAAGGTTCTGGAAGACCTGCTCTATTTGTTTAATGAAATCCACTTGCAGCATTAAGCAGTAGAGCCTTCCAAGACTCTACACAAAGATACACAAAGTATCCCAGGAAGGGAAAATGACATGGTGGGGACGACAAAGGAAAGACCTTACAGTGCACAGTGTACGTCCCTACTTCGCTGGCATGACAAGCAGTCTTCAAGATGAACCATGTTTTCCGCAAACTTCGGAAGTCTCATCATAGATGTAGCAACCTGATGATGAACTTTTTCATGGCACGTCTTTGATTTGTGCAATGGAGATTACCATTGCTGCACTATTGACTCCAACCATACAAGTACCCTCGGAGTGCCCATTCTGGTTTTCCCCAGTTCCTCCTGTCCCTTTGCCCATTCGCCCTTCTTTGTCCAATCTGCCGACTAACATTCAGTGCCGAAGGCACAGTTGGCAGCGGATTCTAACTCAGAACCGCGAACTGCCATCGACCCGGACCGACTGCGTTCAAATCCTTTGGTTATTTTCCGACTGCAACGAGACATGAGGACAACATGAGGTGAAGAAGACAGAATACAAACAATATGAATCATAATATCCATTTCAGGAGTCGAAGAGTTAGCTACTCAAATCATTGACGTTCAATTTATGGGTCGAGGTCGTTCTAGCAATTTCTGGTTGATCTGCTTCAAACCTTCGATCGACGTAGTCACTGGGCACCATCTGATGCTGGGCTGCCTCTTCGAGCACCTAGCATCATCTAGCATCCACCGGCATGGCGTTTGGCGACTACCAACCTGGGAGCAGCGATATAACAAGGTGTAACGAGTACAGCTGCTCATTGGCAGCACCTGTCAAGGCTGTTTACGAGGAAAAGAAGACGCACACCTATTGTTTCCAGTTTGTTTGGTCGAGGAGCATTTGCAACTTGGAGATTCACTGCGTGCAACGACCGCAGTTGGTTTATGCGCGAACACTATATATCGGATAATATCGGATATGATATGGTCCATCAACAGTGAAAACCGTACAAAGAACACAGAAAGAATGCCCAGCAAATCCTGCGAGACGATTGGAAGGAGCGTCGGTAACATTCCGCCATGTAGTCTCCGCACATGGAATCCAAAGCCTCTCATTGACACGAAGCCTGACTACTGGGACCGGCAAAAAATGCATCTATGACATGTCCCAATAGTTTCGAAAGATGCGTTTTCTGAGGAATCCTCTGGGATTGGCCAGTCAAATGTCTCTTGCAAACAATCGTTCGCTTGCAAAGTATAGGATGCCTGTAGGACCTCTCATTGTCTCATCCAAAGTCCTCAGGAACATGGAGTTTTACGGCTCAGCCGGGGCATCCTCCACCAGCAGCCGTCGGATTTCGGTGGAGGACATGCTGTTGGCCCGTACGCTGGGAAGGACGAAAGGATCATCTTCGAGACCGTGATCCTTTACTCGATCTTCACCCATCACCTAGGCAAGGAGCCCCTAGTAGCTTCTTGCTCTTAGTAGTAAGGCCAGGAGCCTGTAGTAGCTTCTTGCTACTAGTAGTAAGGCCAGGAGCCCCTAGAAGCTTCTTCCTCCTAGTAGCACTCCTAGGAGTAAGGCCAGGAGCCCCTGATAACTTCTTGCTCCTAGTAGTAAGGCTCCTGTTCTTGTTCCTAGTAGTAAGGCCAGGAGCCCCTAGAAGCTTCTTCCTCCTAGTAGTAAGGCCAGGAGCTAGTAACTTCTTGCTCCTAGTAGTAAGGCCAGGAACCCCTTGTAGCTTCTTGCTCCTAGTAGTAAGGCCAGGAGCCCGTAGAAGCTTCTTCCTCCTAGTAGTAAGGCCAGGAGCCCCTAGTAGCTTCTTGCTCCTAGGAGTAAGGCCAGGAGCCCCTAGAAGCTTCTTCCTCCTAGTAGTAAGGCAAAACGATGCATGGCAGGACTCCAAAAACGACTTAAGACCTCGCTGAAAGCTCAAAATAGTGTCAGCTGGGGATGAAAACTTCTATAGGTGCACCTAGATGACGGGAAGCCAATTTCAAAGGCAAAACACAGGGAGACTTGACAACAAAGCAAAGCACAAGGAGCTTTGCTAATCTCACCCACAATTCCGAGCGCAACCCACAATCTTATCCCGGCCTATTTTGCAAGACGGTAGCTGATGCTGCAAGCACTTCAAACAATCAAGTTATGGCTAGTAAGAGATGAATCACATCTCATAGCTCATAGCCTAGCTGGATGAAATCCATTGGAATTCCTGAATGTTTGTTTGGGTGATACCATAGTATGAAGCAATGCATGGAACCTCTTGCGTTCACATCCCAAGCGTCTCTGAAGACCTCGCAGCCAAGAGCTTCCTGGTTGAGAGCAATGAATGGCTGAAGGAGATATAGACACTCACCACAATAAATGCCCCCTAACAACTGTTAAACAACAAAGCACACAAATGTGCAATGGCCGAAGAGCGCCATCTCGGCATCTGGCTCTCCCAACACCCGCATCTATTGACTCTAAAAAATACGTCGATGTATCCCAATTGCAACACCTAATTACACCCTTACAACTACTGCCTTCCTTTCATCCCTTCATCCCTACTCCATCACCAAACGCTTCCAAGTCTCAAAGGCCCGGTCCGTGGCGACCCGGATCTCCCGGGCGTCGCCCGTGAAGTGTCGCCAGTGACCATCGAAGACCACGTCGTGAGCACCGTTGCAGCGGAGGAGCGACTGGAAGAGCTTCACACGCTCCGCATAGGGAAAAAGGAAACTGCCTGAGACAGGAAGCTTTAAAACGATTCCAACGTTGAATAGAAGGTTACGAAGGTTCTAAGACTGTGATTGGAACACCTTAAATCCGCTGACATGGGGCCACCCTTCATGGTTGATAAAGACTTATTGCTTCGTCCGCATCTGCGGCATGTTATGCTTATAGTTATAGGTCTGAAGCGCTTGTTGTACTAGAAGATGAGCTCGTCTTGCGATACATGCAAGGAATTATGCTACTGTCACAAACGGCTCAATGTTCATCCTGTCAAAAGATCGAAATGAACGTTCATAGACTGAACGAGTAGGCCATAGTAGGCCTCTAGAGCCTCAAAGCCCTTCTTGCCCTTATCATATCCCCATGGGTCCAAGCATCCTGCGCACGAATGCTTCTAAGAAAATGTGCCCCCTTTAGCTTAAAAAAAAAACAAAGTTCAACAAACTTGGCAAATGTGATGTCTTCTTCTATTTTTCTCCAAAATCGAATCTTCGGATTGCCAGTAGCCCGCCTGCGGCCTTCATCTTCTCTGCGAGCCGCTCATCGCTCTTGGGCGCCACCAGGACAATTGGTGCCTGAATCCGGCTCGACTCAAAGCACCCGGAGCACACTGGAGAAACTTGCTGGTTTTCCAATTACACATGGATCTAGAGATAAAGCCATCCACGAGTAATGGAATGATATTTCCACTTCGTTGCTTCAATCTGACCCCTGTAGTCTTCGTAAGTGACCCTGCTGAGGGCAAGTGACCTCAAACTGGGGTTCCAACAAGTCACTTTTGTTTTGTGGTCTATATCAATTCTGGGAGTATAACACATCATATATAGGATTATATGTATATGTGTGCTGTTGACAGAGAGACTCCAACTGCGCTGAGAGAAGTACACCATAATTAATGTTGTTCTGCATGGAACGAGCTGTCAGGAGTTTGTATACTAAGAACATGTCATGTGACTTGCAAGGAGGAACCTCTCATGTATCATATTTGACTTGCGCAAAATCGGTTCTTGCATCACTATTTCAACGCATTAATTAACCCATTCACCTCCGAAAAGATTGAAATCGGTATATGTCGATTGCCGGCCTCTCGGTGTTTCTTCGCCACCTGTCTCTTCGCCTCGTTGATGGCCTCCAAATGTCCCGCGTGCGCCGGGTTGAAGCTCCCTGCAAAGTAGAGCACTGGAGATCGGCTCCTTCGGGCCAAAAGCTCCAGCAACGCCGGCGGAACCGTGTAGGACATCGAGAGTTGGAAGTGCCAAAGGCACTGCCAGAGGCAAAATCCCAAGGCCAAACGAGCGGCAAAGCTCATCCGGTCGTCTCTCGGACGAATTTCCAGATCGAGCTGGGCCAACGGCAGCAGAAATGGAAGTTCAAGCCACATTCCACCCATCACACCAAAAGCAAACACATGCAACAACAACACTGGCCACAAACATCAAATTTGGGAGGTTGTATCTTCGGAGACTTGTACAGTTCAACCCACAGGCCCAAGGTGGCGAGAAGCCTGAAATAACATGGAAGGATTTGGATCGAAGAACGCTCAAAGCTTCAAGTCACTGGTTCAAGGCATGCCCATGTCCAGAAGCCAAAAAAGACAGCTGGTAGACCAACTTGCAGTCTCAAAGATGGCCAAAAGTGGCCCCAATCGTTCCTGGTGCCCATGCCACCTCCTTTCTTACCCGTCCGACCAGTTCTATCGCCAAAGGGCCAAGAGTGCTTATCTCGTGCCAATGTGCGTGGGTTGCACACAACCAGTAGAGCATACCTGGTCAAACAGGTGCTCCGTGCAGTCGCTTATAAATGTCATGTCTAAAGTCCATAGTGTGTTTCATGATTCTGGCTAGTGGCTAGGCCACTGACAGGTATCTGCACCTTTGTCCCAGTTGTTTTGGTATCACAACTTCGATGTGTTCTGTGTTTCTTTGTTCCTTCATGTCTCACAAAGAACACTCTCACAACAGACCCCGTTTCACCACATCAGTCGCCAAAGGGCTTGGCACGTGTCATGGCGACATTCACACGGCGCCAGTCTCGCACAAAGCCCGTGGTGTTCTGCTCGTTGGATCGAACTGTACTGATCATGATGACCTACGGAATGATCACGAGGAACGATATGTGGATGACCGGACTGGTCTGGAATGTGACAGATCCTTGTGCCTTTGAACCATCCTTTTGAATCTTTCTGGCGACAATTTGGGTGGTTTCACAAAGCGCTTGCAAGGGATACTACGCTGGTGAACTTCTGATCGCAGCTTCTGTGGCAAAAGTCCCAAAGTTGATAATCCACCAAACGGACCACACGCTCGTCTGGCTTCACATGTTTGGGATCCCGAAGGCAAGGAGCAGCTCGCTTTTAGCAAACTAATTGAACACAGTAGAAACACGTGCTACATTCTTTCACAAAAACACAGGATCCAAAAAGGCAACAGAACCCAAACACAGATCAGTTCACATCTTCCAGTGTCAATACTGCATCAGCTTGAACTTTGGTTTGCTGCTCCTGTGATCGACCAAATTTGCTTTGAGATACCACACGATACTCACATTGTCTCCAGGACACCCTACGGCTCACACATGGTCTGGGCGGCTGTGCCAAAATCAGTGAACCGGAATGACATGCCCCCAACAGTGCAAGTGGAACAAAAGACGTGGACACCTCCCTATTGGTATGGACTGTGGGAAGGAAGTAGAACAATTCCAGCAGCGCCCCCCACAACCATTCAACCTGTCTTGGCTTGGCTTCTAAAAGGAAGAGAAGGAAGAAAGACAGCTCCAAAGGTCCAAAGGAAAAACAATACTTAATTCTACTAGTAACAAGTGCATCGCTTCTAGTAACAAGTGCCTTACTAGTAGTAACAAGAAGCTATTAGAAGTAATTACACTTAATTACACTATTGTTTCCAATTAAATTCTAAGTCAAAGAAACGATCCTACTTTGTACAATTGGTCAGGCCGCTGGAGCCGCAGCAAGTCCGCTGGCCTCCTTCTCACGTCCTTGGAAGCCATCCACAGAATTCACCTCGACGCCTGCGATCGGCAAATCAGCAAGGTGTTGCCAGGATTGCAAGTTTGGTGTTGCCCTCTTGGCAGGTGTGCATAAATGTGAACAACATGTGCATCCCAAAGACAAACCATTTGGGACAACCGCGCCTTGAAGCCCGGTCTTGATATGCCGGCTCTTGAGCATACGCCGCAAAAGCTTCACCTGCGACGTCGCACACGGAGACGTGACGTGAATTCAATGGTGCTGGTTTGTGTTGAGCTTGTGCAAGCTCTTGCTAGGCTGTTCGACTCAATCACACAGACGTACAATGACAAATGCCGGCGAAGGTCTGGCAAGTAGACTGCCAGACCGCGCTGGCAGAGCTACCAAGCCTGCGAGTCGTAGGGACTGATCACGCCGATGCTCTCCTCGCTGCCACCATTTTCCAAGTAGTCCTCCAAGTGCTTCACCTTGATCGCCAATTCAAACTCGCTCTATGCGCAATTGGCGGCCTATCGGCCGTGGTGTTGGAGATTCTTGGAGGGTCAGCCGCAACATGCTAATTCGATGATGTTACGAAAAAAGAAAACTAAAACAGCTCTGATTTGGAAACTCAAAGAACTGTCGCTTCGGTTTCTTTTTGTCCGAACATGTCAGTGATCTTCTAGTGGAATGCGCGATGTAGGCCCTTAGGATTCAGTCACACTAAATCATGGTGATTGGAGACATCTCCAGAATACCGTCACAAACCAGTCTTCAGAAGAGATTTTCCCGGTGGTAACATGTAGAAACTGTACCCTAGTAGCGCTAGTAGCGATGGCGTCCTACTAGTAGCGTCCTTGCTACTAGATCTACTAGTAACAAGAAGCGGATGGCCTCAAGCACCAAGGAACCAGGACCTCAGCCTCCCCCTCGTTCATGTGACTTGTACCTTTGGGCGACTCCTGGTCGAAGACCGGTACGACCACCAGGTTGTGCTTGTACTTCCAGCTGGGAGGCTTCTCAACCTGGGCGGACTTCGCCCATTTGGCAGTTGGATGGGGAGGATGCGACTGGGTTTCAGGATGGCCTCAGATATTCTCCTAAAACTCGGGGAGTGGGAGGGCTTTGGCAAGGAAGAAGACCTCACAAGGGACTTACCTGCATCCTAGGAGCATTGTTCAATGTTTTGAATACAATGAGTCATTACACCATACTCAACATACATCAGGTGATGTTTGGCTTGCTTCCGGCGTCAGTAGGGTCCGACTTGGCCTTAGGCTGAGTGGCTGGAGTTTGCATGATTGCATCCAAGAGCTTCCCTTCATAGAAGGCTTGTGATGGAAAGGCCGACAGCAACGGGTGCATCCGATACCTCAGAAGTCTGGTCTGATGCTGAAGCCGAGAAGCTGTTCGCTTTGGAGGCCCTTGATCCCATATCTGTGTGATTGCATCTATACAACTCTAACTATTGTTTGCATCCTCCTCTGTGGCACTTAGAGTTCAAGGTTTGGATCTTTACTTTCTGAGTGTCAAACCTTGATCCGGATCAACATAAATTCATTTGAAACCAAGTCAAGGCTCGTCAGCCTGTGGTATCAAAACTCAGGGACAAGGCACTGCACGTTCAGCATTACGGGCTTGACCCCAGTGAGTGCCAAACGCTCAAACAACGACATCTTCAGCACTTCCTCAATTGTTCAGTGTGAATCATATCACAAAGATAAAATGCGGAATATGGAACACCAATCCCAACAAAAGGAAAACTCAAAAATATCTCAATCTCAGCATCCGAATGCTCCTTCTCGCTCTTGACAGTTGGGGGCAGTTGACAGTGATCTCCACCTCAGCAGAAAGTCTGGCTGAAAGGCATGCGAACAGCTCTGCAAAGAACTTACCGAAAGAACCTGAGGTGCCCAGAAACTGGTGATTGATGGAGTGTGGCTGTAGCATTCGGTAGCAAGTGTGTGCTCTGCAAGGGCGATTTGTGATCATCGCTTGTGATATGGGCCTCTTCCTTGTGAGGCAGTGGCAATTTGCCGTGATGTGTGTGGTTGGAAACGCGTCTAATCTGCAATCATCTTGGTGTCGGCGTGATTCGTGGTGGTGATCCCAGCATGCGGACGAACCGATCAAACAAGCTCTCTCAATTCTTTCAGAGGATGCCAGTTGAACAAACCAAAAGAAAGAAAGGACCGGGTAGCGGGGTTTGACATCCATCGCTATATGTTCAGTCAAACTTAAGCGTATATAAGTATAATGTGCATAATGTTGAGGGCAAGCGATCATCCTGCCAATGCTACTCTGTTGAACAGTCACGTCACACAACACGATTGTTCCCCAACATTTACCCCGAAGCGAACAAGTTCACTCATCTGTGGCATCTGCGAGGATTTCAAAGGATTTGGGGCCCCTCATGGCCCCACCAAAACACACGTCAGCTCCAAGGCACAAAGGACCAGCTGCTTGCAGCCGTGACAAATCGGAACCAATGTGGCTGGCTCCGTGGCTTGCGAAGCTTCATCAATCAGGACCTCATCTTAAGGGTTACTTGTAGCGTCCTTGCTACTAGTAATGGCCTCCAACCTAATAGCGATGGCCTCCACCTAGTAGCTTCTTGATACTAGTAGCGTCCTTGAGCTGCACCGCGAGGTCCCTCTATCGAGCTGATGCAGATTCAATACTCAAATGCCGAGGCATTACCATACAGGGGTCGTATGATGTCGTATGTGCTTTCTGCGTGAGTGGTCATCAGCTCAGATTTTGTGATGAAAACATGGCAAAGGCTTTCCTTTACTTGGACAAGATCTTTCTGATGTGCCCACGTCCGAATGGAACTACGAAACAAGGCTTGCAAAGGAGCCTCAAAACTCCTCAAACAGTGGGGCTGGGATGCGAAACCTCTCCAACCTATGAGAGGACCAGCAAAGGGAGCGGGCAGGGAGCGGGTCTGTGCCTTCTCAATTGGTCTTACACGGTGCACGCGGAGATCTGGTTGTGACTCCGGTTCGTTCGGTCCAAACAGTGCTGGAGCCTTCGAGGGTGCTGGGTTCGTTCAAAACCAGTACACATCCGAAACAGCAAGCCGCTGGGTTAAGCAATGCGGGCTCAGCGCGCTCAAAGCCGTCACAGCCGTGCGGCATGAGCTTGAGGAGCACGCGGCTTGTGAGGCGGATGAGGGCAACAGAATCAGCGCTGTGACCAATGGTTGGAACTTGGGTGGGGTGGCTGGATCATGGAGCGGCGTGATGCCCCTTCACAAGCGCTCATGATGCTGGCACAGCACTGGACTGTATTGGTGGCTTAGGCATCTGGGGCAGCTGTGTACAGTTGGTCGCCGGGTCCCATTTCATCAACACCATGACTGAAACGCTGATCTTGAATTGTCAAGGCTGCAAATGTGTCGGTGGCGGTGTGGGCAAAGCACGGTAGCAACAGGTTCAGAAAGGATAACAGATTATAATAACGTCCTTGCTCCTAGTAGCAATGCCCTTTGTTCCTAGTAGCTTCCTTGTTCGTAGTAGTACGACCAGGAGCCCCTAGTAGCATCCTTGCTCCTAAGATGGGTGTGTTGTGACTTTCGATGCCATGATGTGTGGATATAGTGTGGTGTGCGGGTGCACAAGGAAAGAACATTGCCACACCCCAGGACTGGCATAGACAAGCCAAGAAGCCAAAGGGAAGTAGATATCCCTCAACAGTCCACCGCCAGCGGTCACTGCTGTGCAACAAACCACTTGTGCTTCCAGTATCGCTTGATGCAAGGCTTGGCGCCGCTGATGGAAACCTGAATCCCAGCAAACGCCAAAGACATCTGGTGCTTCCAGTGCTCAGGGATTGAAACCAAACAACCATCACTCTGTCGGAAGAACCAACAGTAACCTGCTCAAACACGTCGTCAACCCACCTATGGTCACTCACTGCAGATTCAAATCTGGCACTCACTGCTCCTCGCTTGCGACTAAGTGACTTGGGACCTCTGCGAGGCTTGAGACCCCGAGCATCTTCGCGGCCACGTTCTCCACGGCGCTCGCCGCCAGCTCTGGTCGAGTGCTCTCCGGGCGGCCGATGCCTCGGCAGGGCTTGAGGCTTGAGGTGGGAACACAAACAAGGCTGTCATAGATGCTTTCGCAATTCACCTGTCTTCCCTAATTCTATGTTTAAGACATATTTGACAGAGCAAGGAAGACTTGCACAAGATCAGGACAAATAGTTCACCAAGAACATCTTGTGCACCCCCTCTCATCACCGCAGTGTAGGAGGTATACACGCGTCAAACTCTATGATGTGTACCTGCATAGCGTTATCGCTAACAAGTCCGAGTCCATGAACCACTAGTAGCTTCTTGTTACTACTAGTAAGGCACCTGTTACTACTAGCGTGGCACTTGTTTCTAATAGCTTCTTGTTACTACTTGAGTCCATGAACCTCCGTCTGAAAAATGCAAGTTACGGACCGTCCGTCCAAGTTACGGACCACCTTCACATTCTCCTTCAGCAAGCCTTCTACCAAATTGTCCACGGCAATGTTGGAGCCACTTGTGGCCAAGATTCCTGAGAAGCCCGGGCTCGATCAATTTCACAGAATCACACTCCGAAGAACTTGACTTTCTACTCAATTGACGGAAACCCAAGCTTTACATATAGTGATTGGGCTATCCTTCGATACGAAGAGAGCTGAGTAAAACATCCTCCACCAAAGCAAGTTTCTATGTCAGGAAATGAAAGTAGTCATGAACATCCTGTGATGAGAAACTGGTGTTGTTCAAGAACGTCTCTAGTGTGTCCTAGACATGTATCTTCCAACTCTTGGCAAGTAGGTCAATGGCCAAAAGGATCCATTGCTCGGTCCACCTCCGACATTCCTCCGGATATTTCACCAGCGGCACTTGAGTCATTTTCACCCATGGTTTTAGTCTCTAGAGTGGGAAGTCCTCAGCCATCAGGCATCTTTGTCACATTGTTGACACCCTTTTTGTCATCTTTGGAGAAAAAAGATGGACCCACATCTGTTTTCCACACATCTATTCCATCTTCTTCGGAGACATCGAAGGGTCATGTGGATCACGAAGCCTCCCAACATGTGCAGGTCATCAAAGCAAGGCACGACAGCTCTTGTTTGGCCGCTTAAAGGTCATGGCCCAGCGCCGTAGGATCTGCACGCAGGTGGTGGTCTTCCCAGTGCCTCAACCAGCCAATGCAAGGCAATGCAAGGCAATGCAAGGTTGCGATGATGAGGTTTCGGTGGTCTGAAAAGGGGTGGGACGTTGCCTTGCTTTGTTGTAGATATTCAAATACAGCGTTGTGACCAATTGGAATGTCCAAGATCATTTGCAGGTGTGGCACCGTCAAGAAAGCTGTTTTTCCTGGTCAATTAGGTCGATGAACATCCATGTGACAGGAACCGGATGCTTCTGACTCGAAATCTTTGTCTTTGGCAATCAGAGATGCCTTCGCCCTGCAACCAGCGGTAAACGTCTGTGCAAGTGCAACTTTGCTGCTTTTGGGGTCCAGGGGCTGTTGGGTTTGTCCGAGACCTAAGGAGTTCCGCTCTCGGCTCTCGTGCAAGGTGTTCTGCGTCTGTTTGTCCAAGACACCTGGGGGTCCCTGGATCAACGTCAAGGTGTTCTCCGCCGCTGACTCCAGTGCTTTGAGCTGACTGTCGTTCAAGGTCCTCGAAGGGTCCACATCCTTGGAGAAGTGTCCACAGAAAAAGGTCCCGCTAGACAAGGACAAACATGACTTGGATTGGAGAAATTATAAAACCGTTTTCCAATCGACCTACTGTATGTGTGAGGGTTGTATTGCAAGGAAGTGCACAAAGCACATTTCTTAAGTGCATCATTGATTGGTTGAGATCACGAGGTGCTGAATCATGAGCCGATGGCATCTATGTACCCATTGGGTGCTCCGTGCACTTCATAGCCAGCAGGCGTCGACCCCCCCTGATGGCTCTGCAAGTATCAGAAGATCTGTGCACATACGTAGCCCTACAAGTGCCTAAGAGGGCTGCTGACAAAATCCACAAGGCTTGAATAACTGCCTCAGCTCACGGTCTGTCTGTGATATTTGGTGAAACTCTAGAATATTGAAGCAAAGCGGCGAGGGCACCATCCTTTAGCAAATGGGGTTCTTCCTGCGCCCACCAGTAGCGGTCTTCGTCGGTAGGCCCAAAGGGCATCAGCAATTTCTTCAGCATCAGAGATGGCGCGAACTTCGAGGGTAAACGATCAATGACTTGAGCATCCTCCTGCACTCTTTAGATGGATTCACGGAAGCCAAAGACTTGAAACGTTGATTTGTAGATGTCTAAATTTGAACGCCCCATGCAAGCTACAAAAAAGAGACTATCCAGAGTGAGTTGCTTATTACATCTTATTACCCTCCAAAAAAGTGCTTCGAGAAGTAAAAGCAACTTCAACGTTCAATATAGGCCTGGACCCCATTGAAAAAACAGGTGATCGTGGGAGTCCTGTTGCTTCCATAGCTTTAACGAACTGAACGAACAAACTGAACAAGAATAATTGTGTACCGTTTCTTATCGCCCATGTTACTGTCAAATCATTGAACAGCGTCGTCGCCGTAGCCTGCCGGCATCTGGCAATGCTACTGGCTATGGCCTCAAAATACTTTGCACGACAAGAATGAACCAATGCCACAAGGCCACGAGTGATGCCTCATGCTATCAAGTGCTTCGAGTGCTGGGGACTTGGGGTCTTCTGTTTGGTGAAGTTCTGAATTCACCACCTTCAAGTAGATGCATACAATCAATGATTAATTTTACACTATATATATATATTCATGCAAAATTGAAGAGTTTGACCCTGTCCTTCTTTTGCTTCTTGCCTCCAGGCCGATCTGGTTCAGTGAGACCTGGGATAATTTGCCGCAACTTGTCAGCAAGACTGGACAATGTGATCACAAGAATGACCGATTGGCCCATAGTCCCTGACAACCGTCAATAAGTTTCATCCCCTAAAATCTATTCCTGAGTTTTTGGTAGACAAACGATGTTGACCTTCCCTCCTAATGGACGGAATCATACAAACCTTCAAACCTTGAAGCACCCCTGAATACCCAATCCTCCAATGAGGTCCAATGCTTCCCAGAATCTTGTCCATCAACCCTTGCAATGTCTGAGGGCTACACACACAACAGTTCTCTGCTAGAAAGGTCCTAAAAGTGGACCGGGTGGCAAAGGAAATCCACTAAATGCTTCTGGAACCTGCTTTGCACCTGTGCCGAGATGCAGTGCAAAGCACAAAGCGTTCTGACAAAGGTCGTGCGCGGTGCCAGTTTGTCAATTCGCGCCGGTTCGCCGGCTCGCACAGACCGGAAGATGGGGTTCTTTTCGTCGCCGCAAAGCACCAAGGGATTCATGTTGACGATGGAGCATTCGCAGAAGGTTCCTGGAGAACTTAAAATGATGTGACTGATTATGTTCCACCTAGCTCCTAAGTTTGATGGCTTATTTTTTAATGGTTGCTCCCCTTTCAGTACAGTCTGGGCCAACAGCAATCAATGACTTTGCGTGCGCATAGAAGGCCCTCCCAAAGACCAATCATATTTTCACAAGCTTGAGGGGATCTTGGAAACCATGGTCAAGTTGAAGCTCTTGCGTGTGTGTGTGTGTGTGTGTGTGTCCAATCCTGTTTCCAAGGACACTACTCTAGTTCTCGTTCTAACCTACCCTACGAATCTTCCAACCACTGTACAGTAGCAGGGGGCACGGCGGCCGTTCACCTAGCCGTGCTAACAAAGCTATGGTGTTCGGTTGGAAGAGATACTGGACGCAGTATCTTGTACCTGCAATTTTTAATTTTCACTCATTGATGCTTCTAAGTCAGTTCAACGCTGTCTCATACGTTGATTTTGCAATAAAGTGCTAATGCTCTCGGCTAATGCTGTACCTAAATGTAAAGGGCTAATGCACACCGCGAAGCAGCCTGAAATCACGCTCCACGGAGCAACCTTCTCAAGTGTGTTTTCGCAGCTTCTTCCCACTGTGGTAAGCTGTGTGATCCCTACGGGGCGCCGTTACCGCAAGAACCTTCTCACTCCTCACCGAGGGAGTAAGTTTCCTGAATTTTCTCTGAAGTTCCTTTGACTGAATTTTACCTGCTCGAAATCAGCTTGGATCGTCTCACCCCGCACATGTGAAGATTTCTGCAGAGTTCACTGAAATCCTTTCTGAATCTCACTGCAGAGTTAACTGAAAATGTTTCACCCGGAAATCCATTCCTTTCAAATCCTTTTAACTTTTCAAGTTTTAATTCAATTTTCCAGAGTTTAATTGCGGTCAGTAAATACACTGCACAACTTTTTCGACCTCACGGACCTCTATTTATTTTCATACATACATACATATTTTGACTGTCTTTGACTTGCCGAGCAGCCATGACGTATCCCTGGCCCTATTCCCTACCGCCACACATCCATCAACAACCACAACCTACACAACCCCATTGGATTCAATACCCACCACAGGCTCCACCACAACCATTTCCAACGCTGCCACCGACTCCACCACAACACCCAACCTCACATCATTATCCATTTCCCACTCCACCTCCACCTCATGCTCAATACATCCAACCACATCAATTACAGGCACATTTTCCAGTACAACCCACGGTTCCTTTCGACACTACCCAACTTGCGCAACAACATCCGCATCTCACAATACAACCACCACAATCCCAAGCTCACACACATCCCACATTGCCACTTCAATCTCAACCTCAACCACCACCTCTGCCTCCTCAACCACATCTATCACATCAACTACATCCATCACCACACACGACAAATCAATCCCCAGCCGCACCATCACTTCAACCACCACCACCACAAGCACCTGATTTACCACAAGCACGAGCACCTGATCCAGCAACAATCACTTCACCACAGCTGGCCACACCAACTCCACCACCACCACCTCACACTCCAACAGCCCCACCAGCGGCTACTCAACCTGCTTCAGCATCCATCACCACACCCGCACAGCCTCCGCCACCACACCACATACCACGCACTACCAAGCCAACACCATCCATTGCACCCACACTTAGCACTACAAGAGGCATTTGGCGCGACCCAGATCGCTCACCACCACGCACACCTGAACATCACCGCTACTCAGCCTTTCCAGCCGTTCCCACCATTGCACCATCACAAGCTACATCCAGATCCAGGAGCCGCACTCGTTCACTACGCACTACACGCTCTCCACTACCACGACGTCGAAGCTCCGCCACACAATCCGTGGCTAGTTCTCAACCACAATCCAAGCCTGCAGACAGACAAACATCACCATCACCAGCAATCACCCAGGACAATGCTCACACTCCCAGACAAAACATCACTGCCGCTACCACTACAAAACACACTCCAGAGTCAACTCACCGTACTTCCAGCATCACACTCAAACCCAACCCACAGTTCACACCCAAACATTCCACAAAACAGACACGTACACCGCCACCACCAGCACCATTACCTACAGTTCCAGTACAACGTCGACCTCACAACTTGCCTCCTCCAAAATTCCAACCACCCACTGATCCAGCGCAATTGGATGTCTTCCAATGGCTCAACCACTACGCACAAGCACTTGATGTCAAAAATGAACCCATGATTTCCTACGTAGCCAAGGTACGTAGTGCAGCTCATCTCAACAGCACCCACTTTACCGACCTACAACTTCTCACACACACAAAATGGAGCGACGACAGCAACAAAGAAGAACATTACTCATTCCTATTACTCACAATCCCCACATTAGCGAGCAGGGGCGACGCCCCGATCCTTCCTCCTACACGGAGAGAGGCGCTGAACATACCACCTATAAAGCACATTTTTTGCGGCACACGTTAGTGAGGAGGGCAACATCATTTCAATACTTGAAGCAGGAGAAATCGTGCGATCCATTCTACATGATGATCACAACGTGGGCTATTTTTGTCAGGCGTTCGAACTGTCGAACTATGAGCCCCATGATGCTGCTGAAGCTGCACGCGTCCTCTTCAATGCTTCCAATATGGCCAAGAACCGTAGCGGCCTCATTTTGACGATCAAAGCCTATGGACACGGCCAGAAAGTCACTCATGGTGGCGAATCCGCAGCGAACGACTTGCTGCTCAGAGGAGAGGGGATTGTAAAATACACCCCAGGAAAATGCTGGGTGGCACATCCCAAACATTCCAGAATAGAAGGGATAGCCTGGAAAAGCGATGCAAAGCCACCGCTTAGTTTCATTTAATTCAACCTATTCAGCTCACGAGGTTCTTTTTCACCCCATATCCCGGATGACGACCTAGCCTCAAACAATCTCAGCCGGCTTGCCTGGTTTTGATATTGATTTTGGTTTTTTTCTAACTCTTCGATGCCAACTTCCTTTTCTTCCAATATCTTATTTCTGTGCAGCTTGATGCCGACAACATGATCTTCTTCACGACCACTATCGTTCCAATTTTCCAGACTTACAGCATGTCAGCCTTCCTGGTTGGTTTTAAGCATTTCGAAGAGAGTCCGCAAGATTTTCCTGCTTTGCATTCTGCCCCGCAGCCATTTTGTATTATCTTGAATATTGAGCTCGATCCCTGACAACCGCCCGCGCTATATTTGCTCTACGACGAGTATCACGACGATGACTTCACCTATGGACACAGCATTTGCACATCGACTCCTTCTGGCACACCTTCAAGCAGCCACATCCATTGCCACCACTTTTCAAAACCTACCACTTTGTACACCGCAACCACCACAGCATGCACACCACCAACCCATTACCACTCCACCTTCTTCCCCAAGACCAACCAGACGCACTCCTCCACCACCGCAGCCACAGCCATCTCATTCACGCAGTCGCAGTCCACCTCCCACCACAGGCAAACCTTTCAAGGAGTGCAAACCAGAACCTTCTCCCTCACACACGCCCACTTCACCACATCAGCATTCACCACACCACCACAAGCCCAAAGCGACTCACCATCGCCTTCCTCAGAAGAACAATACAGAACCCATGCCACCACATACACCACCGATCACAACGATTTCCCTCACCAGCTCGCCCAATTCGCCTCCACAACCAGTACCCACTCCACAACCAGTACCATCAACAAAACCAGCACAAATCCTCACGGAGTCACCTCCTTATCCTGATAATGGAGGCTGGGAACCCAGCGAAGATGAAAAACTGGCGGCCTTCAAACTCAACAAGCGAGCTCGCCCCAGTTGGAAGTACTTGAGGCCAAGGGGGGGGGCGAAAGCTAGCGCTCCAGAATGGGAAAGTGGAGGGCAGCGAGGTAGGAAAAAACACGGCGCTCTTTTTGGAGGCAGGGGTGAAGAACCCTTTATATGTGGCTCTTTGCCCGGATCCTCCTGCGAGAGAAGAGAGAGAAGAGAGACGGAAAGACGAGAGACAGAGAGGAGAGAGAGAGAGAGAGGAGAGAGAGATGAGAGAGATGAGAAAGAGATGAGAGAGATGAGAGAGATGAGAGAGATGAGAGAGATGAGAGAGACAGTGAGACAGTGAGACAGTGAGAGTGAGAGTGAGCGAGTGCGGCCGCAAGATACGCAACGCTAACCGCATGGCATGCCAAAGAGCGACGACAGGACGGAGTCGAACTTGCAAAGAGGGAGGAGGGAGGGAGGGAAGATGGGAGGAAGACAAGGAGGAGGAGAGGGGGGGAGGTGGGGAGAGGGGAGGTGGGGAGAGGGGAGGTGGGGGGGCTTCGACCTGAAAAATCAGGGGTTAGGATTTGCACCCGGTCGAAAGAAACCTTGCTATCGCAAGAGTAACTCCAGCTAGCTTCGCTAGCTTTCGTGACATAGCCAAAGCACTCAACAAAACACCTTTTGATTGCAAAGGTCGATGGCAAGTCTTGCGAATTCTTTACACACCTCAACAGCCTGACAGTCCAGAAGTGGAACCGGAAGCATCATCACCTCACAAAGCATCCCATCAAGCAGCGGCATCTCCTCCAGCCACAAAAGACGCCAGTACGATGACTACAGAACCTCCGGCTCCATCAGACAAAGAGACATAGAACACAGAACAGCAGTACATGATCGTCCAAACAGAGCTTCCCAGGACTACTTGGTGCTGAAGAACATCCAGAACTATTGATGGCTTTGTATTTTATTGTCAATTCGTACATAATTACATATTGGCTTATTGCTTCTTGTCGTTTCAGCAGTTGTGAGCAATAGACTCCAACCCACCACATACCACTACAGCTTTCTTCCACAAGTGCAGCAAAAACAAGATCGATTGCCAGCGGAGCTCATGTTGTTTCAACACACGCCACACACATCAAACTTGCGACAACTGACACATCGCCAGTGCTGTGTACAGACCATCCATGTTATTCCGTCTA